ACGACGTCGAGGTCCTGCACTTCATCGACGGCGGCTCGCAGGGGAAGGTCTACTGCGTCCGCCTCGACAGCAAGCTCTACGCGCTCAAGTGCATCGACGTCAAGGCGGCCATGCAGGCCACCAACATCGTCGAGCGGCAGGGACGGAAGCGCGGGCTGGTGAAGGAGCTCAACAGCATTCGCCTCCAGCAGTCCAAAAAACCACCTACCCACCTCATGCGAATGTTCAACGCGGTGGCCTCGCTCAACGACCGCCAGCAGCTGAGCATTCTGATGGAACTGATGTCGTTCGGGGTGGACAAGATGCAGAATATGGTGGCACGGATTCCCCATGCCGAGCTCATGAAAATTGTACAGTCGACGTTTAAAAGCTATATGGCGAAAAATACCCAGCCCGAGGCAACCTTAGGGAAGGGCTTGAAGGAAAAGCACGGCCCCCCTTCGCAGGTGCTCGGGAGGAGGGATTTTAACACCCCCAAAAGGTGGGAGATGGGGATCGAGCGCCAGACCGCCGTGCAGGAGATCTTGCTTTCCATGGTCGCCGCGGATACGCTCTGCGGCCTGAAAGAACTCCACGAGAATTACAACATCGTACACTGTGATATCAAGCCGCAGAATATTTTGCTTTCGTTTGACAAGCAAAGCTTCAAGATTAGCGATTTCGGCTGTGTCTGTGTGATAGACAAAAAGACAGGGAAGGTGCGCTCTTCCGGGGTGGACTTAGGGGCGAAGCTCTACCGAGCCCCCGAGCGTTTGATTAGCAAGGAGTCTGCGAGCGGAATCGCTGAGGTGACGGTAGAGGACGATGTGGATGGAAATATTATGGACTCCCCCTTTGCGAATCAGGTGACGGAGTTCGATGAGAAGGCGGATGTGTGGTCGCTGGGAATCATGCTTCTGGAGCTCGCCTGTGGAGTTCACCCCTGCAGCCCATTTAAATGCGACTTTTGGAATTACACGAATGAGCTGAAGCTGACGAAAATGGTGAAGCCGTTGGTGTGGTCGTTTGATTTTTGCGATTTTATTGTTCGCTGCGTTTGCGTGGATGTGGGGAAACGGTGGTCGGTAGATCAGCTTCGACAACATCCTTTTATTGCGCATTATAGCAGCGTCCCACGAAGCAAGCTGAAGATGTTTATGGAGCGGCTGGAGAGGGAGTCTGCAAGCTTTCAGCGAAAGCAGCAGCGGGAACTCTTTCAGAAGCAAATATTACTTAGCACCAACCAAATCGCGCGAGATAATTATTTAAAGGATGGTCGCACCAAGTGGAAGGAGTTTACTGGCTTTCTAAGCGTTACACCAGAGCTTAAGGACCTCAGTAAATTTCCACGTTTAGCATAAAGAGAACAGCTATTTTTGATTATCATTTATCAGAAGGTTCCTATAAAAGCCCTTATGACGAGGGCTTTTGGACACTTCGGTAACAAAATATCAAAAACCGCTCTACTCAGCGTTATGTTTTTCGTTTATTTTTCTTCAATCCTTGATTAAATTCTTAGGGTGGGAGACGCGTTTTATCTTTAAGGATCTTTTCGTGTCTCTCATATTGTTTTGTAATGTGTGGGTGTTCGTATTCAATATCTATATATACATAAATATGTAGATATAGCAAGAGATTGAGATCTTTGGATCTTTTTCTCTGCTCAGCGAACCCTACTCTCTGTTTTTTTTATCATTTTGAGGCATTCACACTACGTTTTGGTTCATCTGGTTCACTTTTAACGGAGGCTCACTTGAACGTGGAGACGCTGCTTTCAAGTAGTTCTCCATCTTTTGGTACTTTCCTTTAATCCAATATCTTTCCATTCACCTTCCACACGTGGCACCTTTTTTGAACGGAAAAAAAAGGATCCGCACCATTTAGTGCTTTATGGTAAACGTTTTTCAAAGTTGGAAAACGAAAAACAAACATGAAACCCATCATGATCGTCGGGACAAGCGCTGTTGGCCGTCAAAAGTTAGCGGTAAAGTACTTTGAAGATACATTTCAACTCATTTTTATGTCGCCCAACATTAACGAAAAGAACTATCGTTCAAGTTGTCCCGAAACCTTAACCAAACTTATTGCAGAGGCGAAGATGGATAAAATTCGACAACTGGTGGAGGACGACGAAAAGTTGAGGCACTCCATAAGAGCCCATCCACTAAGCGTCGCGGTCACCTTCGACCAGGTCGTGGTTTGGGCGGGGGAGATCCGTGAGAAAGCCGTCAGCGAGGCGGAATGTCGGGCTTTTATCCGAAGCTACTCCAACAGCAGCGTGGGTACGGTTGAAACCACCTCGGTTTATCACTTCGCCTTGCAGAAGATGGCCTCCGCTTCAAATCGGACCATGACGTATTACCGCGAAATCCCCGACGATGCCATTGAGCGAATCATCGCACGTGGAGCATGCAAACGCTCTGCAGGAGCTCTGATTATCGAAGATGAGGATATGAAAGCGAGGATGATCAAAATTGACCCTGGAGATGAGGAAGCAGTCCAAGGAATGTGCGTGCAAGTTGTACGTGAACTTTTGAAGCAATTCTGAACTTTCTAAGTAACTTCTATGCGTACTCAAACGTCGGAAGCTTTTAGAAAAAAAGAAGAATTCAAAGCTAAAGAGTTGTTTATTTCCCTTTAAAAAGAGTCATGAAGATTTAATGCACAATAGTTTAAATATTTTCTTAATATTTATATAAATAAAAAATATCGTAAAATTTAACTTTATAGTCTCAATTAGCGTGGAGGTCTTTGACAAATGAAATATCAGCGAGTCCCCCTCTTTCCTCCTCCATTTCCTTTTATTATGTAATTCTACATCATTCATGTTTACGATACATTTTTTATATTTATCTGTGAGGAATTAAAAAAAAAGAAAGAAAGAATAAGAATATCATCTTGAAGGTATTTTATTTATTTATCCTTCCACAGTAGAAGATATCATCGGTATCACGATACGATTCTTATTCCACACATTAATGGTGTTAGCATTAGTTTTAGGCGACCTCCACATTCCTCAGCGCGCCGCCCACATCCATGAGGCCTTTCGCAAAATGTTTATTCCAGGTCGCATTCAGATGGTCTTCGTGACTGGTAATGTGACCTCGAAGGAGATGATTCAGTACCTTTACTCGATCGCCCCAGAAGTCTACTGCACCCGTGGCGAGTTTGATCAGGAATGCCTAAAGGATTTACCGGAATCCCTCGTGGTTGATGTAGAAGGCATCAAGGTTGGACTCATTCATGGGCATCAAATCGTACCAATGGGTGATAGGGATTCCTTAGCCGCGGTTCAACGTCAGATGGATATTGATGTTTTAATTTCTGGTGGGACTCACCAGGCAAAAATTATTGAATTCGACGCCCATCTTTTTGTGAATCCCGGTTCGGCTACCGGTGCTTTCACGCCATATGATCTGAATGTAATACCATCTTTTGTTCTTTTGGATATCCACAACACGTCGGTTAATGCGTTTACGTATCGTTACATCACCGAAGACGACACCCTCGGGGAGGGCGACGCGGCTGGTGAAAAACATCTGAGCAAAGATGAGTGTACAGGTGTTCGTATTCACAAAAGGGAGTGGACGAAAGGCTGAGTAGGCTTTTTTTTGTTAAATTCAGTGTCAATCATTGCCGTATGAACAAAGCGTTGAAGAAAAAAGAGCTTAGTATTATCTGAAGACATTCATTGTTTTATACCGTGTCCATAAACCTGTATATTGGATTCGACTTTCTACTTCAGTCTTAGACATGCGTCAGAGCCCTTTTTTGGTGAAAAAAATGTTTTAGCAATTCTGCTTCCCTTGGTTACAAGCTTTGAAAGTATTAATGTGCAATCTTTACTATTGCCAACACTACATAAGACAATCTCTTAATTCGCGTATTGGATCCTTTTTTGTTGTTTGCCCTTTTTCTTTCTAAATGCCCTTCTACATGGTGGGATTAGTATCATTAATTAGAAAAATCCATAACCTTTTGGCTTCTGGTATAAAGAAAGCCATATACTCAGAAGGTGTTATACTTGTTGTACGTTAGGAAAAGTCCGTTTTTATTCCACCTATTCGCTATTATTATTATTATTATTTTGGTGTGATACGATGACCGAGATCTCATACAGTTATTCACGCCTCGCGCGCGATTTTCGACGAATCCCGGAATTCCAGGCCAATGAGACGGAGATACTGACAGATATCGCGCCCAACCCCAGTACGAAGGATAACTACACCACGCTGAACCCACGCGAGGTTCAAATCCAGAATGCGCCTAAGCTTTCCGAGGCCAGCACGAACACGGAGCGTGTTAAACTGCGTAGCCACCCCCAAACGCACTTAGAGGCTGGATGGCCGAACACCGTGGATCCGACCGAGTTTGAGGAGAAGATGAAGTACTGCAAAAAGGTAGAACGTGAGGAGGGCTACTTAAGTTCCTGCATGCGATTAGTCGACCAGTGCATTGAGAAATGCATCAAACAAAACGACGCGATTGACATCTACGGGGAGTACTTCCAGGACCTCCCTGCCGGGGAACAGGAGGAGATCGGCCCCGCCTCCTCCAAAATCGTCGCCGTTTTCAAGGACCCGAGCCCGATGAAGCGGACCGCGGCCGCGCTGTCCTGGCAGGGCGACGGCCGAAAGCTCGCCGTGGGCTACTGCCGACTAAAATTCCAAAGCCACCTGCCCACGATGAGCGCGAACTCCCACATCTGGGATGTGCTGAACCCGAACGAGCCGACCGAGACCCTCGTCGCGGCCTCCCCGCTCTGCAGTATTGAGTACTACACCAAGGACCCGCACTTCATCGCCGGCGGGAGCTGGAATGGTGTAGTGCAGTACTGGGATTGCCGCCAGCCCAACCGTCCTGCCGCGCATTCCCTCGTGGATGAGAGCCACAAGGACCCGGTTTGGGCCGTGCGGTGGCTCCAGAGCAAGTCCGGCGAGCTCCTCTCCGTCTCCACCGACGGCAACGTCTACGTCTGGGACTGCCGGCTGCCCGACAAGCCCAGCGAGATCCACTCCATCGCCGATGATAACCTGGTTTTACAGCCCAAGAGCACGGACGGGGCTGGGCGGTGTGATGTCCTCGGGGGGCTCTGCCTGGACTACGACCCCCAGGTCGGGGGCCCGTCCAAGTACATGATCGGCACCGAGCAAGGCGTGATCCTCTCTTGCAACCGCAAAGGCAAGACGCACCAGGAGAAGATCGGGTCCAACAGCTTTGTTGGGCACCACGGCCCCGTCTACAGCGTCCAGCGCAACCCCTCCTTCTCGAAGTACTTCCTCTCTGTTGGGGACTGGACGGCGCGGCTGTGGTTCGAGGACTTCAAGTTCGCCCCGACCTTCAGCACCTTCTACCACGAGGCCTATTTGACCAGTGGGGCCTGGCACCCGGTCCGGCCCGGGGTCTTTTTCACCACCCGCATGGACGGCCACCTCGACATCTGGGACCTCATGCTGCGGCAGACCACCCCCTCCCTCAGCCTGCACGTCTCCGACTACGCCCTGCACGCGCTCAAGCCCAGCCACGACGGCCGGGTCGTCGCCACCGGCGGCATCGACGGCAACGTCACCCTGCTCGAGCTCTCGCCCTCGCTTTGCGGCCTCGCGCCGGACGAGCGGAACGTCATCGGGCAGCTCTTCGAGAACGAGAGCCTGCGGGATAAGAACCTCGAGCGCGCCTTTAAGGAAAAGCGAGCGGCGGCGCGGCAACGGGCGAGCCACCGCGGCTCCACCCGCGGAAGCATCGTCAAGCCGAACGAGGGCGACCTCGGCGACCTCGAGACCGTCGCCCGGCAGTACCTCGACGGCGTCAACAAGGAAAAGGAGGAGGAGATCCAGGCCCGGACTGAGATTGACGAGGTCCGCGATAAGCTTTTCAAGGATATCGAAGATGGCGTGGACCTCGGTGAAAAGGTCTATCCCGCGAACAACCGGGCCCTTAAATCTTAGATTCATATCTACATTTTCTACAAGTGCAGTGTGAGTGTGTAGGGAGGGAGGGGGGGAGGGGGA